TATATGTTTATTAATACAAAAAATTCCTAATATGAAAGTAAGATGAAAAAGATAACAAATGACAAAGTATATGAGTAGTATAAGTAGTAATTTCGATCATTTTGATCTATATTGTATTAAATAAACAACCAAACCCATAAAACCTCAGCAGGTTGTCATGGGATGTATGGAAAAAAAGAGTCTACTAGCATATGCCCTGAGCCATAATTATATATTATGTACGTTCCTACATTTCTATGATACTAGCTACAATGTCAATGTCTAGCTCCAGTAAGTATACTTTAAATTTTTTCTTGATATATTCGATTGAATTGATTTCAAGAATATACATTTTATAAGTTTCTGGTAAATAGTTGAAAATCCTATTAGCTAAGTATTGAAAATTTTGCTGACCTATGGACTTTTCGGCTGCATTTGTTGTCACATAGTGTTTCGATTTTGTTCTAGTTAGATAGGGATGATTGATTCTCTGTAATGTATATTTGTTTTTATACAAATAAATGATCATACTGAACATGTATAATTTTCTCAAATTCATTATTTTTGTATCAGTGAATGTACATTTTGAGGAGTAGGTCATTGGTTTTCCAAGCATTACTTCTAGAATTTTCTTCTGTAGTATATCTAGTTTCTGCATATGTGTATAATATGTGCCGCCCCAGCTTAGTATTGCGTACTGTAAACGGGATTCGACGAGACCAAAATATACAACTCTCAAATATCTAATATTTATAAGTTTATATAACTGTTTGAATTTGAACAATATTGTTCTCAATGTATTAGTTACATTACTAATATGTTTATCCCATTTGAGATTTGGGTCTATGGTAACTCCAAGATATTCAACACTATTTGCTCTCTTTATTTTGATAATTTCATTCTGGCTTTGAATATCCAGAGTCTGGAAGTTTGGCAGTGAGGATTTATAACTCGCAAATGGTAAAAAAATTGTTTTCTCTCAAAATTTACTGTTAATACTTTGTGATTGAACCAATCGATAATTCGCTCCAAATCCCTTTCCGTCTTCAATTTCAGATCTGACCAAGTCGGCGCTGTATATAGAATCGCAGTATCGTCTGCGAAACTATATATTTTCCCTTTGATGTTTAAAGTAAGAAGGTTGTTGACATATATTGAAAACAATAGTGGCCCTAATACCGTGCCTTGTGGTACTCCACAAGTCACTTTCTTTTCAGTGCTGAGTGCATTTCCGATTCTTACTATCTGTGTCCTAGCATTCAAATAGCTTTCGAAAAGTGAGAGAGTTCTACCACGCATACCTGCATTCTCCAAAGCCTCCAACAACTGCAGATGATCCACAGTATCGAAAGCCTTGGCGAGATCCAGGAAGACGCATAATGTTGGCTTTTTTTCGTCGATTGAATTATATATTTTGCTAGTTAATGATGATATTGCATCGTTGGTGGATGTTCCTTCTTTAAATCCAAATTGTTTTTCAGAAATTATATTATATTTTTTCACAAAGTGCGATAATCTGAGTTTTATGGCCTTCTCGATTATTTTTGCGAATGCTGATATGAGTGATATAGGTCTATAGTTTGCTATATCTTTTCTATCGCCTTTTTTGTGAATGGGTACAACAACAGCAATCTTACAGTCATTCGGAAATACTCCAGTTTCAAAGACACAATTCACGAGGTGGCACAATAATGGTGATATTTCGTTCGATATATTTTTTAATTGTTCGCTTCTTATGTCATCAAAGCCCGGTGCTTTTTTTACTTTCAGATTCTTTAAGATTTCTTTGATCTCGTTTTCACTCAGAGGGAGTAAAAATAAAGAGTTTGGCGTCGATGTTTGTGGAGGTTTTTCAGTTATCGGTGTTTTGATTTTTTTCGCTAATGATACCCCTACATTTGCAAAATATTCATTAAATGCGCTTACAATAAGTAGGTCATCTGTTAGCAATTTGTTTTCTTTATCAATAATTTCCTTAATTTTGTTTTCTCTTTCTATATTCCCAAATGATTTTACAACTTTCCAGAGATTTTTTGAATTTTCCTTATTTTTTTCTATTTCATTCTCGTAAAAGTTAATTTTAGCAGTTTTGATCAATCTATTCACTATGTTACGGTATCTAATGAATGTTTCCCTCTTCACTGGACAGTTCGGATCTTGTTTATATTGCTTGAACAATGTATTTTTTCGGTTAACAGACAATATCAGAGCTGGGGTTATCCAGTCTCTTCTTGGCCGTTTATCTTTTGATAATTTCACAGTTTTCGTATTTTCTTGTAATAATATTTTCAATGTTCTACTTAGTTCCTTTATTAAAATATTTGGATTTTTGATATCATAATAATCACTCCAGTCATGGTTGTTAATATCCTTTTTTAAGTGTTCGTATTCAATGAAATGTTTGATAGATTTAATACTTTTTTCTGGATTCGTCTTATCTACTATAGGCATACCGGTTATTATGGATTTGTGATCTGATATGTTTGTATCAAATGCCACAGATAGACATTTATCTTGGAGATCTGTTGATTTAGAATTCAGAAATATATGGTCAATTCTACTCGCTGACTCTCCTCGTATACGAGTATCAACATCATTTATGATTGATATAAAGTTATATTCACTGAGTATATCAAAGTATTCATTAGTTTCCTTCTTGTCATCTTTCAAATTTATATTTATATCGCCTACAATAAAGTGATTTTCAACTACTTCCAGTCTTGTATTTTCGAGATAATGTCTTAGTCCTGTCAGGTACTCTTCTAAGTTTGTGCTAGGTGGTCTGTATATTGCTGTTATGAGCCATTTAGTATTTTTATTGATATTAATTTTCACCTGTACGACTTTGCATGAACCAATATAAATTATTTCACTGGAATACTCGTATTTATTTTGGATGTAAACTATGATTCCGTCATTTTTATTAATATCACCATGATTATATATACTATCATAGCCCTCAATCTTGAAGGAATCAGGATAATTGATTTTGAATGTCTCCGTTAATATTATACATTCTATTTCAAAGTTCAGCTGTCTCATGAAAATTTTCAGTTCATCTAGGTTCTTATTGACGCTACATATATTTTGGTGAAATATTTTGAAGGTTTCTTTGAAAACAGTATTATCGCATATATACTTATTGAGTGCATTTGATTCATGTAAGTCAATTGTTTCAATGGGTTCAGAGTTATGATCTCGAATATATTGGTCCATGTCTACCACAACTTGATTAGAACTATATATAATAATGAATAAAAGAGAGAATGGTTCAGTATTTGGTATTTGAATACCGAAAGTAGAAAAAATATTGTTTTACATAACTGAGAAAAAAATGATAAAAACAACTGCTGATGGAGTAAGTTAGGTGCTCAAAAATGAAGTTTTCCGAGATACTTAGCTTGGGAACGAGTTCTCAGCATTTCTTTTGCTACAGGCTCCAGTATAACTTTTCTGATCGTTCCAGATTTTGGTGTCCCTTGGTGGGTATCTTCGATAATTTTTTCCCTGCGTTGAATTTCGTCTTCTTTTGTTGGTACTTGTGCTGCAGCTCCCTCTTCCTCTGTTTCAGATATTTGGCAATGCGTTTGGCCTATTTCCTTCAATTGCTGGATTGAATATGTTGTATTGTTCACAATCAGTTTATTTCCTCTAATGTAACAGTTGTTCGATGGGGTTTCTCTTGCTCTCAGGAGATGTGTCAAAATTTTGCTTTCTCTTCTTTGTTGGCTGGTTTGATCTTGTTTTATACTCAAAGATGTTCCTTTCAATTTTCGGCAGTTTTTCAAAACCATTCGTTTCTTAGTATTAGATGTGAACTCAATTTTCACCGGATTATTTGAAGAATTCCCTAGTTGATAAAGATCATCAATATCAGATTCTACAAGTGGTATTTCGAGTCGATCTCCTAATTCTTGGCACACAGATTCTATCGATATACCTTCCCTTGGTTTAGGTATTCCAAATACAACGATATTCCTTTTACGATTCTGGCGGTCCAAATATTCGATTCTTTGATTAAGTACCTCGTTATCTGCTTCTAGTTCTCGAACTTTGGCTTTCAGATTCTCAATTTTCGAGAGGACACGAGACTCGCTAGCTTCTATCAAATTCTTCAAATCCACCCGTGACCTAATGATTTCATCCAACAACGCCTTGTTACTTATATCCTGTTTTCCATCTGGCATTTTCAAATTCGAAATCAGATTATATTCAAAGTGAACGGTTAGCTTCAATTCAGACGTAGAATATCCCGATTTAGTGGGTTTGTGGAGCACAACAAATTTTATTGTTTGTAATCACTAAATGTTCATAGGTAGCACTTTTTCGGAACTAGCACATTGATGTTTATAATTTATAATTGATGTTTATAAACTTATTGAACGAGCTCTGACTATACGTGTATCTTTCTTGACGGCTCGAATACGAATGGCCTATAGGATTGATAACGAATATATTTCCCGGAAAAAATAGACAAGTTAGAGTGGTTGATGTACAAATCAGATCAACATTATATAGAAGACCAACAACGAAAATTTGTAAACTGAACATGGAAACCACAAGAGAGTACACCAAAGTATTAGCAGATGATGTCAGAAAATAACGAAGAAGAGAAAGAACTCAAGATTGCATAATTCGTTATTATACATGTTTCATGTTTTTTCTCTTCCCTGTATATATGGAAAAAAATGTAATGGCATAGGTCATTCCTTATTACAATTCGATAATTTGCCAAAAGATAAGGTCCTTCGAATATTTGCCAAGGATTATCTGCCAATCCAGCCTAAGCCCGTAACAGTAACTTCGTTTGATCTTATAATTATATTTCAGTTGTGACGTTCATAGTATTTATTGTCAAATTCTAACAATAATTTCCAATGAAAACGACTATAGTGCTCTTGTCACAATGCAAGGTGTGTAACTTGATGAATCTGAACTTTCAAAAACACTAACAGTTGTCATTTCTGTGTCCGAACTCTTATCTAACTAATACCATCCAGTATCCAGTGACTCTAACTTACCCAACTCCAATAGCTCCTTTGTGAGTTCCTCATAACCATCAGAAGCTGCATAGACGAGGGCAGTGAATTTTTTTTTATTTTCATGATTTATATCTGCACCTGAAAACACAATGTACAAGTATCAGATATTGAAATACAGGGTGGTACGTATGACTTGAGACAGGCATACATATCTTGAAAATTATGCATTCAAGGAAGAAAAAAAACTGAAGGTCCAAGTTGTTTCATTTCAGAAATGGAAAATAATATAATTTTATGACTTTGTGATTATTTTTGAGGATATAAAATATTGATAGTTATTTATTACACACGCGTAGCGGTGGAAGACAAAAAACCGTGAGCTAAAATCTATATAATATTTATCCCGTGTGGAAAACAGTATTTTTTTCTGTGACAGGAAAAAGAACGAATCAATATCATACCAAAATCAGAAAATTATCGACGGTAAATTTGAAGTTTTTATCAGGAATTACACTTGCGTTGCAGGCATCTTCTTGCAAGGATCTTTATAATTCTTTTGAAGTAATCAGATATGAGTCAGTATAATTCTGTGATTTGATTTTAAAAAATTGCGAACTTTGTGGTTGATTATTAATTTAAGTAACCGGGTAGTGAAATGGAAAATAAAAGGACTTGCAGTCCTTTCTTGGCTTATTCTGTGGAACGAGCACAACAAAAGTGTATATACCGGGTGGCTACGGAATTATTGCCTACCTACGGAATATCTCAGTTATTGTATGAAGTAGGTTTGTGAAATTTGGAGCGTCGATATAATGGCATAAGAGCTAGAATTTGAGCATATTGACATGTCGAAGTTAACTTCCGGTCTGACCGGAAGTGATATCAACTTTCTTATTTTGAATGGAAACCCTATTTTTTTTTCTTTTCGCTTTATTCAGCATTCAATTCCTTTTCTAATGACATATCACAAGTTGATAACCGGGTAGTGGAATGGAAAATAAAAGGACTTGCATTCTTTTCTTGGCTTATTCTGTGGAACGAGCACAACAAAAGTGTATATATACAGGCTGATTCACGGTGGATGGCACATTAGACGTTTCTGGAGATGGCAACTCAGGATTATTCTGAGAAGTTGATGCCTTGGATAATGAATTGTGTTCTATCGACCTGAAATATAATCAGTGTTGCGACGTTGCCGCTTATATTGAAAAGTAGCAACTAATACTTTGATTTTTCAATGGAACAGCCTGTATATCATTCCGTTTTCAGATTCTCCCCGAAGAGCTGATTCCATCGATCTTTCACACGTCTATCGGGAATGATAACAAAGATATAGGGTGTTAAAAATCTATATTTTTCAACTTTAAAAATGTTTTGTGTCGAAACAATTCATAATTAATCATAACGGTTTCCATGTCCCTATCTCAACTTTCCATGTACTATCAATTGATATTTAATTGAAATAGATACAGGGTGGTCAGAATTCTTAATTCTGCCCTAATAACACAACTCGATCCAATGGACGTCCTATGGACATCCTCCTCTAGACATCTCGGATATCCATTGGATATCCAGTTTGTATTCACTGGATGACGTATGGACATCCATAGGATATCGCGTTTCCAACTTTTTAGCTATCCATATATTGGTATTCGTCATGGACATCTTTATGGTATCCGTCATGGACATCTATATATATGGTATTCGTTATGGACATCCATATGATATATGTCATGAACATCCATATGGTTACTTTTATAGGATGTCTAAAATCTATGCAATCATATATATATATATATATATGTTGGGAATAAGATTTGATCAATAAATAGAATCTGTGGTTCTGATTGTTATATTTATGGTAAATGTGATTATATTGAAGAACACTAGGTGTTATAATAGAAGTGATATATGTATTGCTTCTATTGTAACTCCCGTCATTATTTCAGTTTGGTAGAGTTGACACAATATGAATTCGGTCTGAACAAATTTTTCAAGTTCACTTTTGCACTATTATAGGCACTCAATTTCAGATCCATTCTACTAGTTGAAGTTCTTCGACATCTTCGAGTGATCTATTTATTCTCCGACCAAACAATAGCATAACGATAAATAAAACAAAGGAACCCGTCGTTCACACACAAATATTAAGGAACAGATTATTACAATAACGTCACTCAATACAAATTCGAACGAATTAAAAATATTCAGGACGCTATCTGAAAATGATCAGATCATCAGTCTGAGTAGTCTCAGATATTAATCAATGCATTAACGGCAACAACAATAATGGCGCACGCTATCACACGGCACTAATCACAGCTCACAGCTCTAACAAGGCTGACCCTGTGGGCATGTGCGGTCACCAAAAGAGCCGAACGATGTCGATGATACCCGAGACGATTGCGATGGGATACATCATCAGAGGGGACATGGAATGGACACCATATGGATTACTTCAACTGGACATCCGATGGATTACTTCATGAGGACATCCTATTGTTGTCCAGAATGTTTCCATGGACACCTTGGACATATAATAGACACAATACGGAAATCCAATGGACATCTTGTGTTATTAGGGTGAACGTCCAAAGCTAAGTGAAAATTTAATATTTTTTTCTATATATATAGTGAATTTTCCTTTTAGGCTCTCCGATAGGAAAATTCTTTAAACGCAGTGACATTTTGGGGCAAATCATCTGATTTGTCCTTACTACACGTATATATTGGAATAATATTCATATTTTTTTCTTTTATAGAAACGAGGAGAGAAAATCCCAAAAAATCTGGAATAATGAATGTATACCACCTTCTCGAATAACCTATACAGACAGTATATTTTAAAAGTACAAACTCTCTTCCTGTAAGGAAAATATGATTTATTATTTATAATTATAGGCGATCCAAAGGAATGGGGAAGACCACTGAGGGAAGAAATCCGTGCAAACCTCTTTCAATCGACGAATCATGATTTACGTTTGATCTACAATCAATATTATGAGTTGAAGTTGAAAGGAATCGAATCTATATCGTATAGAAATCAGCATATTTCATTCGTTATTTCGAAAAGCCAAATATGATGGTGGAGCTGTGACGTATTAGTCCCGCACTGTAGCTATCTCTCTCTGATACCTCGTCATTCTGCAGTGTTGCAGTGTGATTGGTGAGTTCAAGGACAATAGGCGTGTTGGGACTAAGACGTCGCACCAGTCTCACCAATGAATTGACAAAATTTCAAATGGCGCAGGAATTTCACTGGTAGTTTTTCAGTATAGGGTTCACGATAATGTCGTTTCAGAAAATCAGTGGTCTCCCCCACTGAAACGGCTTCCGCACAACGCGGTGTCGGCGGGTTTGATGTTCCCTTTGAAGTAGGTGCAGGTGTGAACATTCGTTTGTTCGAGCCGCTCCAATCGACTCTGGATAAACTATAACTACATTATCATTAATCTTCAGTAAATCATATACACTTATGAATTGCATGATATTTCGGCACGCTCTGTTTAAAATATTCTCGAAATTAATTTTACAAAATAATAAGTAATAAATTCACATATGGGTACTTATGATATGTATGAATCAAAAAAGGACAATACACCCCATCTGATTCAGATCCATTTCAAATTTTTATATACCCCTGTTATGACAGTTTGATTCTTACGTTCATATTTTTCATTTGTTTTGTATTTTTGTTGTTCAATTTCACTATTCGTTTCTGTTTTTTATATACTCAAATCTTATAAGTACCTACCCTAATAACACAATTATGTCCCCAAAAAAAAAAAAAAAATAGTATGTCCCAGGGACGTACGAATTATTCTTGAATTTGAATTTTTCTGAGTCCCTCTAGGACCAGATCTTGCATAACTGATGGGGACATCCAGTTGAGTTGATGGTCCGTAGAAGGTCCCAAAAAGATCCTGAAAAAGTTTCCCAAGTCCAATAGACTTACGTGAAGGACATTGATGGGGAGTACTTATAGCCTGCGAGCAATCATTCGTCGGCGAGGTGTAAGTTAACGTCCTCGCAGGGACATATTGAAAGTACCGACTGGGACGTCCATAGGACGTTATTTCTAGGACATTGGATAAGTACAGTTCATGTACCAATTGGGACATTTCGATTCTTATACGATCCTGGAAATATTAAGGGCGTCTGTGCAGAGATATTTGAAGGAATGTACTATCAGGGACATTTCATGGTTGTCTAGAAGGGACATTATGTAAGATATGAAGTCAAGTCAGAATATGTCCTTTTTTTTTTCATCGCTTGGAGCGCACGGGATGGATGTCCCTAAAGGAACGTTTGAAATAATATCCCATCAGGGACATACCAAGGACGTCCTTTCATGGACATTCTACAATATGTACCTCGTGGGACGTCTAAGGGATGCTATTTCTAGGACATTTGAAATGATGAACCAGCTGGTACATTTCGTGGACGTCCTTACTCGGACATTGCATGAGATGTACGGGATGGGACGTCCCAAGGACACTTATTTTTGGTCCGGGACATTCGGACTTGAATTGTACCAAATTGGGACGTCGCTAGGAAGTTGTGTGCTATTAGGGTATGTAACTGTATATATTTTGTGATATTTGTGAGTATTTTCAAATTGAGAATTAGGAATATGATTATTTTTTATGTTTGTTTTCTTTGTTTCAATTCCGTTGGAAATAGGTTACTTTTCTGTTTACTGAAAGTTCATGACGTTTCGACGCCATAGGATTAGTTCTTTATCCTTTCTTAGAATTCGTATAGCATAAAATAAATCTGCATTTTTGAGAAGGTATTTACTGATGAATTAAAAATCGAACTGGCAACCTTGGTCCGCGCGGAGAGTGAGTTGACAACAACTGCCATTTGCTGTTGTCAAATTAATTATTCAGGACATCCGATCGATTTCACGTGTGCAGAGGACCATGATGTAGGATATAAGTGTTTGAGGTCGACGATGGAAATTTATATGGTTCTCGCCGAAAAACTGTCTTTTGTCTCGCCTGATTACTAGCCTCGACTATCAATCTGCAGACTCGACTATAATAGACAGTTTTCCGTCCTTTGCTTTTTTTATCATTTTATTATGTTAGGCATCTGACGATCCGCCACTCACAGTGAAATAGTTATTTATGTACCATGTTTTTAGACATACCTTTGCTGTGCAGGTATTTGATGACATCCAATTGATTGTTTTTTGCAGCCAAAGTCAGAGGTGTATTGAGATCATCTTTTTCTTCATCTACATTCATATTCGGGAATTTCTCCAGTATTTTTTTAATCCAAGTTATATTTCCTTTGTATGCCAAATTATGTAGAACATTGCAAGCATGTTGATTGGTCACTGTAGGATCGATCTTTTCATGACTCAATAGCAATTCCATAACAGAATCATAATCATCGTGCCTCTCATGTTCGCTAGCAATAAGGAGCACCGTTTCTCCGTTTTCGTCTTTTGCATTGATATCTTCAGTTTGAGATAGCAGGATTTTGATTTTTCTTATATTACGGCTCTGTACTGCTTTATGCAGAGCATATTTCTTCTCATCCTGAAAAAAAAACTCAGGTACTTTAACTTATCCAGGAATCGATCCAGAAGGTCAATATCGTCCTAAATGGGCATGCCCAATATGAGCGTATCTTACTCATGTGAGCATGCGCAGTCGAGATGCAGCAGTACCATTGGGCAATATTAGCAGAAGAGATTTATTGTCTCGTAGCGTCCAACCAATATGCTGCCAGCGCGGAAAAGCGTCATCCAGAGTGCCCATATCAAATCGAGAACTTGAAGACCTTGTTCGTTCTGTTTGATATACCCAACCCTGATCACTTATTACGATGCGATTATGAACAGAGAGAAATATCTCAAAGCCAATGATGTCAATACTTCATCAGATTTAACTCAGACATTGTAACGATATTCAAATCGTTACTCGCTTTTAAGTAATTTTTAATGAATATTATCAACAGTTATTGATATATCATAATAGTTCGATATAGGTAGCGACATCTGTTGTAATTATCACGAACATTAAACAGTTACGAACATCAAATAAACAGTACTTTCAGTTCTCTTTATTCTACTCTGATAATGGTTATTAGAATCCTAATTGCATTAGAGTGACTTCTATTAGTGCGAGGATGAATTCATTGAATAGGTAGACAGTTTATAGGTAGAAATCTTTTTTCGTGAAATTCAACAGGCTTAATTACAGATGTATCCGTTAGCCAATAGGATGGATCGATAGAAATCACGTGAGAACGAATTTTCATGAAAACGAAGGTGGAAAAATCACTCTTTTCCATTTTAGACTTTGAGCAGATAACATCTCGAGAATTTTTCATTATCGATGAATCGAATTCTCCCGTAGAAAAATTTGAAGAGTTTGTGTGATCGTTTTTGGATATCGGGAGTAAATTGAGGTAGGCCCAATTTCAGTTTAAATCGCTCAGATAATGCAAATTTAATCTCAGCTATTTTATTTTAGCACACGGCGTTTCAGAAATGGCCGCTGCTAGGTGAATTTTCGTTCAAACGACAATTCAACATTTTTTGCTTTGATAACATCAATAGCTTGCTAGGTAGTGCTTATATTATAATTTTGCATCACTTCTGAATGACATATGAATATCATCACTTTCGATCAATTCTTTGAGATATATTCTTTTCATAATATACAGTTAGACCGTTGGCCCATAACACTAGGGGTGTCGATTATCTACGAAGGTATGCCCTTCAAGAGACATGAAGATTGAGTTGGATTATCGGGAAAAAAGTGGTTAGTTGGATCGGTACCCGGTCGCCCATCTCCCTAATCAATCAACTTCCTGTTGAAAGTAATGTTGAAAATTGTATTATAGAAGAAGCTTTAAAATTCATTGGAATAGTCGCATCTCGCCAAATTAACCGGGCGCTAGCCGATTTGCATACGTCTAGGTCGGTCCCGAAGGGCGGCATACGGACCGCAAGTTACCGTTAACCGACATTTCTCTTAGATTATTTACGATGGTATGCCCTTTGGTTAATTCCTTCATTTCGACCCATGAATCAATGCCATAATAACATTTGCATACAGTTTGGGTGGGCGAATTTAGACACATTCGAAGGTCACTTTAAATCATCGATTATATATATCCAGATTATATAATTTTGTATGCCATTCAATCAGGTGATAGATTCAGTTATACTGAATAAGAAAATAGCGTTTGCATACGAATGTATTGTGAGCATACGTCGATTTTGCTATAGGGAGTCTATTTTTTTCAGTTTTTCTAATATTAAAAAGTTGAAACTGGAAATTCCAGGATGATCGAGTGCCAAGGGCTCTCAGGGAGGTTTCGGGGTCACTAAGCTCGAATCTGGCACCTACTACTAGTGCCGGGGGCCGGGGATGATAGAGGATGACTCTAGGGGGGATGTCAGGGGGCGCATCTCATTTGCAGAACCGGCAGATAGTCTTGTTGGATTCTATGAATCTGATCCTCTTGGAGTTACAATGGGAGTTCCTAAAGGATCAATCTTGGATCCCATGTTTTTTGTTATTTTCATGAACGATATTGTAATATTCCCCTGAGAGGGGCTCGAACATCATCAAGAAGGCGTATAACGATCTTCCTGTATCACGCGTATCAGATTGTTCCCGAGTATCCCAATAATTCTAACATGAATCAGCATATTTTCGAACACCCAATATGTGTCGCAGCGACAGAAAAATTTCAAAACAATCGATGGAACTATTAGAGAGAGAGAGAGAGAAATACTTTGCTATGAGAAGCTTCGAGAACAAAAGAAGGGTACCGATGATTTTCGGGAACATTCGACAAGCATATAGCCAGCCAAATCATCTGATATATAGGTCGCGTGCACGATGACCGACCCTGGAGGCAAAATATTGAAACACAACCTCATTCTTCTGTGAATTATTGAAACACAACCTCACTTTTTTACTTGGTTACAGAGGAATCAAACGATTGAACTAGTTTTTCACAATATTTTGGCATACGAATCGTGTTTTTTGCGCTATTCATTAATTCGAGCATGCCTTCGCATTGTGCTGTTGTAAAATGCACTAAAAATGTAGCAAGAGACTAAAGAATATGATTTTTCAGGTAAATAGTAATCTCACATAGTTATCATTATGAAATGTTGTCATTCCTTATTAAAATTCCTTCTGCCTTCTGTCACTTCTGCCATACAAGCTAATACTGCTAATAGATTGAAAATTTCTACAACACACACGATCGTCAGCATGTCAGACCAGTCCTCCCGATTGATTGCATGAATCCAATTTTCTGGCATTATTTTCGAAATTTTAGATGTATTTCCATTAGCTTCTATCGCAGAAGGAATTCCGATGAGAAATCAGAGAAATAACCAAATTTCAAAAATGAAAACTATATGTGAGTGACTATATAGTAGGTACTTACTTTTAAATCATAATGTACCATCCGGATTCCTTCATCTTCCGCTGCAGTTTTTGTACATTTTACAACAGCACAATGTGATGGCATGAGCGAATTGATGAATAGCGGAAATATACGATTCATATGCCAAACTAATTGTGGAAAACTATTTCGATCACTTGTAAACAAGTAAGTAAAGTGACGTTTGTGTTTCGATATTTTGCCTCCAGTGTCGGTCATCTGACAGTTCTTGCACGCAACCCATAAGGACGACAGGACAGCAGGTGGTCAGTGATTGTCAGAGAGACAGCCATATACCGCGTGATATAAATGGTTCGACATAAATAGTAGTTATATGTTTGTTATAAATGAGTGTTCGTTCCCTTTCGTGAAATAAATCAGTTCGTAAATAAATGGTGGTGTTCGCTTCTGCACACAAATAACACATCCCCTAATTTACAGTTGCAACTGTGAATTAGGAGATGAACAGTAAATTAGGCAAATATCCGTGAAAAAAAAGTTTTTTTAGGATGGCAGTTCAGACGCGTCGTACAGACATAATAATTAGTTTCTCAGTGGTTTTTGAACCAAAAACTGATTTTTCGAAACTTCGACCTCGAATAACTCGAAACGGGTAAATCGGGACGAGTTTTGTGTAAGTTCTAAAGTTAGAAAGAACTTGATTGTCGATATCTTGAGCTCTTACAGGGTGTTGAACGAATTTTGCCGCCATTTTTGCTAATTTTACTGGGCTAAATGTAATCCCCGCAACTCGCAAATCGTATGCAAATCATTATTCCATGCATAGTTTATGCTTAACTAACCTTGATCAAAATTTGGGAGCTTCGTAGATAATCTTGTACATACAGGTCAATGATGTAAAGTGACTTTCGAATAAGTCTAAATTCGCCCACCCAAACTGTACGCAATTGTTATGGCATTGATTCATGGGTCGAAATGAAGGAATTAACCAAAGGGCATACCATCGTAAATAATCTGAGAGAAATGTCGGTTAACGGTAACTTGCGGTCCGTATGCCGCCCTTCGGGACCGACCTAGACGTATGCAAATCGGCTAGCGCCCGGTTAATTTGGCGAGATGCGACTATTCCAATGAATTTTAAAGCTTCTTCTATGAAACAATTTTCAACATTACTTTCAACAGGAAGTTGATTGATTAGGGAGATGGGCGACCGGGTACCGATCCAACTAACCACTTTTTTCCCGATAATCCAACTCAATCTTCATGTCTCTTGAAGGGCATACCTTCGTAGATAATCGACACCCCTAGTGTTATGGGCCAACGGTCTAAGTGTGCAGAGAGCACGTGATTGTTGAAGCTTGGCTTGAGTGAAAAGAAGTTTTTCTGTGTGGTTTTTTCATATTTTTGCAGTGAATGCAGCCACGGAAATTAATACTGCGGAGCTGATGTTTGGCTTATTGTGTTTGCGGATAATATAATACTCACTATAGATCAATTATAAAAATTGAAGATGCTGTCAAATGGTTGAAATTGAAATTCAATGCCAATGACATGGGAAATGTCTCAAATTTCCTAGGTATGCAAATAGTAAGCAATAACGATCATCTACTCATTTCTGAAACGAAACTGATTGAGAAAGTCTCAGAATTTCAATATGAGTGATTGCAAAGAAGCAAGCACACCTATGGGAGTAGGATTCCAAATCGATCCTGTTGCTCATCTCAGTCGAGTTCTTGAAAAGCTCTCACTACAGACCTGGAAGGCCGCAAAAAGAATACTTCGATATCTACAATCAACAAAAATCTTGGGATTGGAATACAAGAAGAGTAATCTCATTCATCTAGAATCCTTCTCTGATGCGGATCGGGCTGCTGACAAAACTGACAGGAAAAGTGTCAGTGGAAATATCGTACTCTATGGTGAAAATGCAGTATCTTGGTTTTCCAAGAAGCAGGACTGTGTTGCTTTGAGCACAGCCGAAGCGTAATATGTAGCAGCTGTAGCAGCAGCACAAGAACTCGTTTATTCAAAAGGAGTTTTATCTGAATTCGTGACAGAATGTGATACGGTGCTCTTTATAGACACTCTAAGTACCATTGCGATGTCTAAAAGTTGAACATATCTGATTGTTAAAAAGGTTTTTGGTGTGGATTATGTTAGCACAAATCAAAATATTGCCGATTTTATGAACAAGCCCTCTTGCAAGGAAAAGTTCTTGAAATTCAAAGGTTTAGATGGAATAGTTACAAAATAGATGATTCCTTCAATTCATATATATATATACAGGGTGATTCAAAAGTAAGCGGCATCCTTTCAGAGGCGTATTCCTTGCATGAAAATAAGGCAAAAAGTTCCTATTGATAAGGATCCGAAAATGCTTCCTAAGGGAGCTACGGCCCTTTGAATAGTACACCTCAAAGACGGTTTTTTCTCTATAACTTTAAAATCCTTCACAACAAATTTTTAAAAATTGGTGTACGGCATAAACATTCGATGGTAAATAGGACTCCGTATTCGAAATAATTTCCAAACGAAATCACAGTAACCTGAATATCCGGAGAAGAAGGGATATTTTTACACTTACCCTCTCCCGCATGTGACGCCCCTGAATGAAATTCTGAAATTTCGAATACGGAGTCCTATTTACCATCGAATGTTTATGCCGTACACCAATTTTTAAAAATTTGTTGTGAAGGATTTTAAAGTTATAGAGAAAAAACCGTCTTTGAGGTGTCCTATTCAAAGGGCCGTAGCTCCCTTAGGAAGCATTTTCGGATCCTTATCAATAGGAACTTTTTGCCTTATTTTCAAGCAAGGAATACGCCTCTGAAAGGATGCCGCTTACTTTTGAATCACCCTGTATATATATATATATATATATATATATATATTCTGTTCATGTTGCGATTCTTCATTTTCTATAAAAAAAATCGTATCGAGGAGGAGTGTTTAATGTTTGTATCACTTAGTATATGTGTGATTTTGTAATATTGAAAATAATTTATTAGTAGTACATCAAGTGTTGAATGAATTAATATTACGAAAATATAAATAGCTGGACTGGTTATTACGAAAATACATACAAAAGACAAAACTCACCATATGGTACGACATTATTGTGCGATATTTTGATATACTATCACCACTATTTTCAAAACCCGAATGAAAATATTGTGTGAGTGTACTCAGGTTGCAAGTACACAAATAGTTTTCATATATTGAATATCAAAATTTATCTTATCGAAAGATACAATATATAATGAGTAATCACTTATTATTTCTGGGCCCCGCTAAGGGGCATTTTATGGTCCATTCCTTTTAGCGATGGCATATTGATGCCAGTCTCGTCATAGAAGTACCTATATTCTATATATTTTTCTATTATACAGGGTCCGACAATTAACCTGTCGGTTTTTGAATAGTTGGTAGTGGTTGTCAGGATGGTTGGAGAAGGGAGAGCTTCGTCTCAGTCTTCTTTCCAGATGTGGACATTTTGAAATTTAGTTACTATGAAGGGTTGGACAGCTGAACACCGTGCGTTAAATGTGGAGGCGTCTTTTAGAAATAACCATTCTATGATCCTCAGCTCATACGTACCTATTTTCGTAGACGCTGCAAGGTTCCTTGTCGCGGACAGATTCCATCAAGTAACACTATTCTTTTATGCGTTCGGAACCTTCGGGAAACGGATTTCCTTGCGTGCCATGATCCGGGATTTCCTTCCCCCTGAATTAGGGACATCGACGCCCAATTCTTTCTTAGAAGGGTTTGGAATCAACAATACAGGGCCAATGCCTACATGTCGCGTTTCTTAATGAAGTGTCCATTCTCGATGCTTCTGCGTGATATCTCAGTTTTGAAAGTGTATACTTCATAAACCACCTCTATATCTACGAAGTTTCTCAGCAAAAATTTAAAATCAAAATCTCATCCCATAGAGCATTCTACTCAGAATCCTGTGGTGCACTCGAATTTTTTTTCTGGGTATGGTTTTGGAGATACGACTCAAACTTATGATTTTCTAAATGGAACACCATATATTTTATAATCTCATTAAATTCCCTTTTTTTTCCTTTTCTAAGGATATATCCCCAATAGCACACAACGTCCTAGGGACGTCCCTATTTGGTAAAATTCACGTCCGAATGTCCCGAACCAAAAATAAGTGTCCTTGGGACGTCTCATGCAATGTCCGAGCAAGGACGTCCACGGAATGTCCCAGCTGGTACTTCATTTCAAATGTCCTAGAAATAGCATCCCTTAGACGTCCAACGTGGTACATATTGTATATTGTCCATGCAAGGACGTCCTTGGCATGTCCCTGGTGGGATATGATCTTAAACGTTCCTTCAGGGACATCCATCGGATGTCCCGAGTAGTACATATTCTGGCATTACTTCAGATCTTATATAATGTCCCTCCTAGACAACCATGAAATGTGCCTGATGGTACATCCTTTCAAATATCTCTGCACAGACGCCCTTAATATTTCCAGGATCGTATAACAATCGAAATGTCCCTTAGGGATATCCGTCGGATGTCCCAATTGGTACATGAACTGTACTCTTCCAATGTCCTAGAAATAACGTCCTATGGACGTCCCAGTCGGTACTTTCAATATGTTGTTCCTGCGAGGACGTTCACTTACACCTCGCCGCCGAATGATTGTCCATTGGACATCCGTGGGGAACTTTTTGCGGACCTTCTACGGACCATCAACTCAACTGGATGTCCTAATCAGTTATGCAAGATCTGGTCCTAGAGGGATCCAGAAAAATTCAAATTCAAGAATAATTCGTAAGTACGTCCCTGGGACATCCTATGGACATCCAATTGATATCCCTCAGCGTTGCTGATAGGTTGTCCTATGGATGTCCTGAGGATGTCCTCTGTAGTGCTTGATGAGGAATACTGTAGGATTTAGGTATTCGACAGTTGTCCCAGGGACATTCCTCAAGGACGTCCCTAGTTGGTCCTCAAGTGGGACATTTGTGCGTCCCACAGACGTCGAATGGACGTCCATGGTACCAAATTCGAACGTCCTATGGACGTCCGGAATGTCCCGACAGAAATTCGAACGTCCTATGGACGTCCGGAATGTCCCGACAGGACGTCCTAAGGATATCCATGGGACATAAGTGTGTTATTAGGGATATAATGTATGTATATACAATTTTCGAAAATGTTCCAATATCACTACAACATTGAATTCTAATAGTGAGCTGGATTTTCTTTTTCATGAAAAGTTCATAATGTCATAATGATGACGTTTCAGTGACGTCGTTTTACGTCAGTTGATTGGCCAAGGTGACGTCAGCAGTTGCCGTCGTATTACGTGATAAATGACGTAATAGGTTGTTCTACGGACGTCCTCCGTAGTGCTTAATGAGAAATACTGTAGAATTCAACTATTCGATAGGATTCTCACCCAGATAGCACAAATACCTTTTGAGGCCCTTCTAAGGCGTTCACAATAATGCCCTCAGGACGTCGAGGTCGAGCCTGACGACGTCCCTAGCTCGTCCTCCTGTTACCGTTCTCTACATCCTAATAACGTCTTAGAACATCCCTATAAGGTCCTCTGGGACATGTTTAGGGCATTATGGGGACATCTTTAGGAAGTATTGAAAAATGTCTAGGGATAGGTTGATAAAAATGAAATTGTATTGAAAAAATATTTATATCATGATATTTGCGAAATTTCCCTGGAATAATAATATGTTCAAATAAAACTTACATCCTATTATTTATAACTTATTGGTGGAGATTTTCGAGTTTCATTCTGAAAAAATGTATCTCAGCTTCTTGTTGAGCACTACTAGAAGTTATTGCCCATTGGTAATATTTCTCTATGTTGTTTTTGATTTCTCAACTCTGGATATGCTTCCTAATGCTGAAACTACTAAAAAGTTGAAGCCTTCATACAATATTTTATAGATGATATCAAGTTTGTGTTTTCCATAACCTTCTGAAACAAACAATGATTCAATATCTCATATCCATGTAATATCTATGATTTGATCCACCTACCTTTGTTCCTTTCTTCCTCAGAGAAAAATCATCATCATCAACAAGTTCTCTTCTTGTAATCAATTGTGATTTCTGAACCCTGTTCAAGCCTGCATACAATCTTTTATAGATTCGGAAGAAGTCAAAATATATCTTTGATTTGAACATTTCTGCTCTGATGATAGCATCAAAAGTTTGTGTTCTCAATAACCTTCTGAAATAAATAATGTATTGATATTTCATGTCCATTACCTACCTATAATATCAATTTTTTGATTCAGATACCTACCTTCATCGTTGATTGATATATTACGCTTAATAAGCGTAATATATCAATCAACGCCTTCATTGAATCTACTGAGAGTTCAAGCCTGCATACAATCTTTTATAGATTCCGAAGGAGCCAAAATTTCTTGGAATGAAACATCTCTGCTCTGATAATATGATATCAAGTTTGTGTTCTCTATAACTTCCTGAAACAAATAATGTATTGATATTTTATGTCCAGTACTCCAGTAGGTATACCTACTATAGATATGATTTGATTCCTACCTAGTACCTTTATTGTATCTATACTGAAAGTTAAAGCCTGCATACAATCTTTTATAGATTCCAAAGAAGCCAAAATATGTTGAAATATCAAACATCTCTGATCTGTGTTCTCATCAATAACCTCCTGGAACAAATAATAATGTATTAATATTTCATGTCCACTACCTATTATCAATGAGTTGATTCAGGTAGGTACCTACCTATCTTTATTGAATCCACTGAAAGTTCAAGCCTTCATACAATGTTTGATAGATTCCGTAGAAGCCAAAATATCTTGGAATGAAACATCTCTGCTCTGATGATATCATCAAGTTTGTGTTCTCAATAACCTCCTGAAATAAAATAATAGATTCAATATTTCATGTCTAGTACCTACTATCAATGATTTGAATTATTAATTAGGTACCTGTATTTCTTATTATTTCATCAATTTCTCATAGAAATATTATCATGGGACATAACCTCACTTCTAGTATTTCTAGTTCTCTTCTTCTCCTTCCTTTTGGCTTTGTCGACACGTTATTTCATGGAATGTCATCTGAAGACATCCGTAGGCACGACATCCGCTGCAGCCTCAGGCTGTCACTGAAAGAACTTTTCTAGGACAATTACGGCGCTAATTCTACGCCTGATGATGTTCTTAGGTTGTAGAAAACATAACGTCCTCTCTAGGCGTTTGGCGACACATTGAGGATGGCCCTAGGCAATTGTGTGCTATCTGGGCAGCGGCATTCCTCTGAAACGTCCCTAGCTGGTCCTCAAGTGGGACATTTGTGCGCCCTACAAACGTTCAAAGGACGTTTTGGGGATGTCCATGAGACATAATTGTGCTTTTGGGAGAAAAATTATTGAGTTCATGATGCTTTTTGCATTTCCTGAATTCTGAAAGCCTATAAAACCTACTTCGAGTTTGCCTATTTATGAACGTTTTTGTGAAACCAATTGTGACCGTGAAAGTTATTGAGTAAAATATAAACAAACACCCTGTACCTACATACACACATACATACATACATACATACATACATACATACATACATACATACATACATACATACATACATACATACATACATACAGGCTTAGATCATTCCAACTATAGACGACATTGTGGGGATGTCGAAGGAATGCACGTAACATTGAAGTATAACTTTTGAGGAATTCTCATTGGTTTATTCAGTTTTTCTATACACGTCGAATTTATCATGAATACTCGAAAAAATGTTAGAATGGACGCCCCCACAATTGCCTTTTTATGATTACACATTTTTCCTGTTTATACTCCCCCATTATTGGCATTATTTGATTGTGGAAGTGGGGACGTCCACACAAGAGAGGTTATTTTCAGTTTGAGACCGCGTATGTCGACATTTTGTGCAATGTTGCCAATAGATCTATAATTATTTGATTATTTGATATCCGATTTCTTGCGATGAAACAGTAAAGACACATTGATGAGAGAATCATCTGATGGTGATAATTATTTCCATACTTCCCCATTCCTCTAGATATTTCGTTTTGTAATCGTTTGATATACCCCTATCAAACCCAGT